GTCTGTACACCTGGAGGCCGAGCAGCTGCGCAGTTTTGGAAGCTGTCGATTTGAAACCACTTCTACTTAAGTACTCCAAAAGTGCGCAGTTGATGTGCAGCGCGAAGTGCGAAGGCTGCAGTCCTGCAGCAAACAGACCCGCAGCTGCTAGCGACAGCCCCAGCCGGCGACGACAGCAGCAGCAGCAGCAGCAGCAGCAGCAGCAACGACAGCAGCAGCGCGGGCAGCCCTTCGCTCGGACCAGCGGTTGCTGCAGCAGAAGGGCCACCAGAGGCTAGACACAGAGACGCAGGCTGCGCTGCCACCACCAGCAGCGAGGCCCAGGGACACGCAGCAGCAGCACCAGTAGCAGCAGCAGCAGCAGCAGCAAAGAGTGATCAGGCACGCAGCAAAAGAAACTGCGCAGCAAGGGGCCAGCACGGCAGCCACAGCCAAAACAAGAGGCTGAGGCTTTCCGGGGGGTTTTGTGTCTCCTCGCACAAACCTAGAATCCACGCACTAGGGTTTAGGATTAAGGGTTTAGGGTTTAGGGTTTAGGGTTTAGGGCGAACCCGCAGCTGCGCCTCCTGCAAGTCAGGCTCTTCAGCCAAAACCTTCAGCCTTCTGCTGCACCTCTCGAGCTCTCCCGTGGCTTCTGCTGCTGCTTTTTCTGTCTGAGAAAAACAAAAAGGACCAGCTGCTGCAGCGGCACCTTTTGCTGCTGCTGCGAAGCCAGAGGGACCTTAGCTGGGAGGTATCGCAGCAGCAGCAGCAGCAGCAGCAGCAGCAAAGGCGGTAGAGGCAGCACTGCAACAGCAAATGCAGCAGCAACACGGCGAGACGCCGAGCGGCAAGGACCACCGGCATCACCAACAACAGCAGCAACGGCAGCAGCAGCAGCAACAGCAACAGCGGCAACAGCAGCAGCAACAGCAGCAGCAACAGCAACAGCAACAGCAACAGCAACAGCAGCAGCAACAGCAACAGCAGCAACAAGAACAGCAGCAGCAGCAGCAGCAGCAGCAACAGCAGCAGCAGCAACAGCAGCAGCAGCAGCAGCGGCGTGCGGGACCCTGCGTTTGATGTTTTTGACTTTTTCGACGACGAGGTCGAGTCTGTCGAGCTGGTACTGCGGCGAGTGAGCAGCAAGCAGCTGCTGCTGCAGCTTCTTTTTAATGAAAGCCAAAACCACCGAAATGTCTTTGGCGAGGGCCCTTTGGCTGCGCCGCAGCAAAGCTGCTGCTCTTTCCAGCGGCACCACAACACTGGACGCATGCAGCCCCAGAGTGGGGCTGCTGCGCAGCGCAGCAGCGGGCTGCAGCAGCAGCGCCGCTGCTGCTGCGCCTTCGCTGCTGCTCCCGCTGCTGCTCTCCTCCTCTCCCGCCGCTGCTGCTGCTGCGCGCGCGCCCCGCGCTGCAGCTGCTGCAGCAGGACCTGCGGCTCCGGATGCAGCAGCAACCGCAGCCCCTACGGGGTCCACTGAGCTCAGCGCGAAGCTCCTGCTGCTGCTGCTGCCGCTGCTGCTGCTCGAGCTCGGGCTCGGGCTCGCGTCCATCCCGCTGCTGCTGCTGCTGCTGCTGCTGCTCCCTTCCACCCTGCTGCTGCTCCCCTCCGCAGTCGAATACCCGCTAGTCCCCGCCTCTCGGCTACCCCCAGCGGACTGCCCTGGATCGCCAACGCTGCTGCTGCTGCTGCTGCTGCTGCTGCTGCCTAGAATCGTCTGCAGCGCACTTTGGGGGCCCCCACGGGAAGCTGCGGGCCCGTGGCCCTGCGGCGCTTCCGCAGCAGCAGCAAAACCCGCAGCAGGGGGCCCCCCTTCACCCGTGGCTTCTGGGGGCCCCCTTTCTGTGAGGACTCCCCCCGCAGCGCCCTCCCCTGCTGCAGCAGCAGCTGCTGCTGCTGCTGCTAGCTCTGCTGCAGGGGGCCCCCCCGAGGGCGCGGGGGGGCCCCCTGCAGGGGAAAGAACCGCGGGGGGCCCCCCAGGGGCCCCCGGGGAAAGCTCTGAGGGG